TTTCTGCAACTATAAAAGGTAACTAAAGCTTATGTTTTTTTTAATAGGCTAATTGGACTGTTTGTATTACATTCGAACTGGCTCGATCCTTAATCTCGAAAAGCTCTGGGCCCTTATGTCATTCCTTAAGAGTGTTCTATTTCAGTTTTTCAAGTTCAGTAAGAATCAGAAAACTCGCCTTGCTCGAGGTCCTACCGAGGTTGACGAAAAAGTTCTAAGGGCGCTGGTTCAAGTAATAAAGCCGAAAACATGCAGAGGGTAAAAACAGCGTATTGAAGATAGTCCGTCTTTCTAATACAAGTAATTGTTTTTCTTTTCTTCGAAACACACTTTTCGTCGTGTGATTTGCCCCGTGAGCGCCGTCGAATCAAAATCGCCATTTCGGAGCGTTTTGAAATCTACTCTCAATACTTCCTTATAAAATAATTGCCCCTTAAATGTGGCAAATATTCCCAATAATTGAAGTAGTAATGAAGACGTGTTTTCTCGGCGACTGAGGTTGTTAATGCAAACTTTTGAAAGACCATGGAAATCTCTGTATTGAAAGCGCAGACCATTTTCGTACAAAATGACCACAGGCTGAAATCGAAAGGTGAGTGCAAGGCGAGGAAGAATACAATTTACCATCATCATTTTCATACTATTGTTTTGCGGTGTAGGAGAAGATAACAAAATCGAAAGACCTACATCCGATAATTTATTGTTTTTCCCTCGCTTCAACATTGCACCAGAAGGAGTTGCTGGCATGAGAAATGAGCGTGCTTGGCACACGGGTGGCGCGAATTTGGTCGACTTGAGAGGATTTGAAATTCACGTGTTTGCTAAAGATAGTTTTCTTGAATTCGACTGCCACGGTTAATGCCACGTCAATGTTCTGCAATGCACAATTTCGGTATTTGAAGGCGATGGGGGTATTGTGTCCATAAGGAATTTGATGCAGTTCTGGTAGTGCTTCGCCAACCAGATTAGTTACATCTCACTGTGAACAAATGGCCCAAACGTTCGTGTTTAGGCTTTACGGTGTGTTTAAGCCCTTCAGTTGTTCCATACAGCTCCGCGTCACCGCAGATCTTATTCATTGTGAGAACCCGAAGATCTATTGTCGGTCGCTTAGAAATTCCTGTGGCCAGGTGAGGCATTATTTATTAACGACGGACAAAGGTGAATAGGCGATCACACGGAAAGAAAAGGTACGGAGGCTATCGCAACATACGAGGACATTTTGGTGGCATTGCACTGAAGATCGCGCAAAACCTTTCTTTTCTATTAAAAAGGGTACTTAGCCTCGAGGACAGGCTAAGAGAGATCCAGGGTGCAAAAGCGTTTCTGTCCCGAAGTTTTCTACTTTCTGGCTTGGTCCTAGAGGTGATGCCCCCCATACTTTGCGATGGCACCAAGAAACGATTGGGGGCGATTGCAGAATTTGAATTGTTGAAATTACAGGGTTTTTTCGGGTTTTGGCTCTCTTTTGCTGTTAGATCGTATCAGGATTTTGAGTTCCTTTCCGGTTCCAGATCAATGGAAATGGAAGGGAAGAAAATTTCAGTTGAAAACTTCACGAGCTTTCAAATAGCCAAACCTTGATTTACATGTTGTTCTGTTTACCCTGTGCCGAATACGGACAAGTTCGGGGATTTTGAGATGGCGCTGCGTCGAGTTGGAACGCGCTTCACAAATTCTCTGTTGGCGTTTCCATCTTACTGGTTGACTCCCTGTTCAGTCGTTCCATCCGAAGAAATTTGCTTTTCATGCAGCGTATACGAAATAATGTCTTTTTTTGCGAGTTTTATAAGAGGTGGTTCAATTTTTGCTGTTACTCGAAACCATTCTGAGCTGTGTGGAAGTAACAATTTACCCGATGATCAAATGCTGACATTTTTTTTTTTCACAAGCCTGTTCTACTGCCACCGTATTCTGTTTATTGGTGTCCTGAAGAAAAGGATTTCTCCGTGATTCAAGGCGACATTTATAGACTTTTCTCTATTATGAGCATGCAATATGATCGCTTTTTGGTGTTCCCGGGGGTTAGCAGGGTTCCAGAGCGTCGTATTTTTGTGATAAAGTCAGAGCATTACCGTATCAAAGATCTTCTATATTTGAATTTTTTTCCTCTTTCAATAGTGGATGAGGATTTCACAGTCTAGTCGGGTGGGGGGGGGGGGGCATGCATTGGCGTCTGTGACATCTAAAATCCTTTTGTCGTCTCCTTTACAAGGCTTAGAAAGACATAAGGCTCAAACTTTTGCCACAGATAAGTGGCTAACCACACAACCCCCCGCCCTCACCCTGCAATTGCCCCATTGCCTGGTTCCGCTTCTTTCTTAGAACAGGTTCAGCCTCACCGAAAGGATTAGACGTATCGGGCATCATTATGCTATTGGAGAACCCCCGCTCCCTTCCCGTAGTCTCTAATAGGACTAACCCTCAAAGGGGACTAGAAAGGGGATGTGAAAACAATTTTCTTTTTTTTCCTGAAGTTCCTGCCGTCCTACTATGCTCAGTCCGCACAAAGTTGCTTCACCCGGCGACACCAGCGCCGAAAATTATTTATCAAGCATTCCTTATAGCGATGGGCTATGTGCATAATATTTTGGTTATATTACACTTGTAAGTGTTTCCTCAACTCTTCAGATAGTTGAGTTTTGATGTATGGATAAGGGAATCCGAATATTGTTTCACATCCACGTCCAGGTAAATCCTACTTTCCAAAGGAAGAAATTGGCAATATGTTAATTCGAGGTACAAGTTTTACGCGCCCGAGTAATTTAAGACTTATACTGTTCAATGGGCGATCAGCGATCCTATTTCCGATTCACGTCCATTGTTGTCCATGTGATGCATTCAGTTCCAAGTCAGCAGTGAATTGAAAAACTTTTGAAACCTTCGTTGGTCGCATTAACATTGGTGACATTTTCATACGCGTCTCAATCAGTAACTGGTTTTGCTGAGAAAAAAAAACCGGAAGTTGTTCTTCGGCTATTAGCCATATAACTTGACCGTGGCTAGACAAAGAGATTGGTGGAAATGCTTAGTAAAACAAGTCTTCAGCAGCTGAATGTGGCTCCCATCCCTTGATAGCCCATTATGCTTAATTTCTAACGCTACTGCATTGAAACGTGTCGCGAATATCTGCTTTAGTTTTTCATATGCAGTGAATAATGGCATGCGAGGATTCCCTCTCCCCATAGTGGCGTGTCGGACTCACAATATTTGCCTTTACAGTGCGAAAAGCCTGATACTTGTTGCAGTTGTTGGGAATTCACAGGCTGGATGCAGGGGTCACCGCTACTTGGTACAAGTACGCAACGGGTGGGTCGTACTTCGGGTTAGCTTTGGAGCGGGGTCGTACCAAGGTCAACCCTACGTTGGTACAAGTACAACGGGGAGTCGTAGTTTGTAGGAGGGGGGTCGTACCCACTTTAGTCGCTCGAAATCACGTGTGGGATTGAGGTGAAACTAAGATTTCGTGGGTAGTAGGCTGGGCGAGTGGAGGGCGCGCAGGATAAAAATTTGCCGTTTCAGCGGGCGTATATACCCCCCCTAGAAAAGGAAGTAGTGGGAGTATAGGTAAAAAATGGGTTGAAATGGTGGAAATAGAAGGAAATTTTCGGAGATATTTACCGTTTCAGAGTGACTATATACCCCCCCCCGCTCGACGGCATTTTTGGAGGAAAAAGTGGGCGGGGTTTTGATGGAAGATGGAGATGGTGGAGGTAGGGAAAAGGGGGTCGTATCAAATCCACGTTGGGGGAGGGGGGTCGTAAAAATTTTTCGAAAAGTAACAACGATAGGACAGACCCTGGCGGATGCAATGCTTGGCGAATTAGCTTGGCCCATGATCGGCTTGCTAGTTTTCCTTTTTTCTGTTCCCTTTCATCTGCTATTCGACTTGTGCAATTTGTCCTTCGATTAGACTGACCGCAGCTAAAAGTGCTATTCGGCATTATCACTATCACCCTAGGAAGGAGTTCTTGATAGCGCTAAAAAGGCCAAAGACGTTGAGCAGCTTAATGGCGACGATGTCCTTTCTTATC